GCCAGTCTGCTGGGCTCGTGATCTTGAATATTGGCCATTAGAACTTAACACTAGATGAAACCATTGCAGAAACCACGTAGTTAAACCAAACAGCTAGAGACTAGAGGCTATACAGTGGGTTTAACCTATCTTACTAAAACTGGGCCTATTTAAGTGCTGTCAGAACTCCTTCCTGACCCGCATGTCATATTGAGACCACGTTGTCTTGCATGCCAAGTGCAGTATGTGCTGAGGGATCTTGGAGAGCACAGGTTAGCTACAATGAAGATAAAGCAGAAAGAGATTGTTGCATGGTAAAGTAGCCTCTTCTGTTGTCATGTCCATGTTCCCCAGAAGGTGGTAGCGGGGAATGTCTGTGAACCTGCTCACCTGACCAATGTGTCCTACCAGAACGCCTGCATGAGAAGGAGATGCTGGAGGCTCTCCAGGCTACAACCGTTACTTGTGAGATAATATCCCATTCTCCTGGTAGGGAACACTTTTCCAGTGAAGTATCACATTTTTTTAGATAAAATACAAAGCTAAGGTCACAAACTCATGAGGCCACTGATGAGCCGGTCTTCAAAACTTTTTGTAGACTTAGGAATGTTATTGTCCTGATTACACTCCAACTTGGAGTAGTTCTATTCTTCCTAAATGGTTGTGTATTATCAGTTAGAGAAGACATCCTTCATTGCTTCCTCCTCAAAAGTGGTCTGTACTGTTGCTGTGCTCTGACCAGCTGCTTATTGTATTTGAGTTTCCAATCAAAAGATCTGTGCAGAAATGTTAAAAGGTTTAAGTGGCTGTGTTTACAAAACACTGCAAGACCTGCAGATGAGAGCACTGATCTGGTGGGCAGAGATGGTGCAATATGTGCAGTTCATTAACTGACACAGCACATTCTCATGTGTTACTTTGTTTAGAAGGAAATTTGGATAAAATGACTGCAAGACAAAAGGCAGTCCCTTCCCTATTTGTTTGCTTCTCATGACTCTGAAATTGCTGTTTTGTTCATATCCTTCTTGGCCAGCAGTTGATAAATAGCTCTGTGTCCGGTAAATTTTTGCATGACTTGATAAACACTGGAATTGCAGGAAACTGTTATTTACAGTTCCTGCAGCCTTTTCCTCCTTTTATTTACCTTCCATGTTATAGAAGGTAGGGGCCTACCAACAGAAACAGCTATTAAGTAGAAGAAAAAGAGAGCTCATGAAGAATTACCTCAGCACTTAGCAGTCTGTTAGCCTTCCTCTTAACACTGAGGTAGGATCTTGGGCTTTCTGATAGGTCTGGCTTCAGCTTGCTCCTTCATATTTATTTTGAGAAAGATATTTTAAAGCAAATGCTTACAGAGCTTCTTGCACTAGCACTGAAATACAAATAGGTAACGAAGTTATGTCCTTCACCTTCTGGAACTAATTTTTTAGAGCTGTGGGTATCAATGCAGCTGGTATCAATGCACAACATGCCTTGCCATGTCTTTGCATGTTTGCGGATGCATGTGCATAATATAATGTGTAATTGGCTGGTCCTTTTGCAACTACCAGATTGCAGATGTAACTCAATTTCAGATGCAGAAGGGACCAGATTCATATATACTTTTTTATCATCCTGTTCTTTTGATCTCCCTATTATACATACTGAGGCAAAACATAATTCAGGAATTGCCACATCACAATATTGTGATCATCCTACTTGGATAAGTTGCCTTTTAAACAAAATCTTCTTTTTCCCTCTGGGGTTTATCAGTTTTGGTGGTAGATGCTAATCAGTAGAAACTCGAGTACAGTCAGTCTTTGCTATTTCAGTACCCACAAAAAGTATTAGATTATTTTACTACAGGGCTTAGCTGGTGAACCAACGAGACTGAAAACTTTTAAAACCTACATCTTGAGATAGACAACCATTAGTGTCCTACTTTTGCACCATCCTTTTTCTCATATGTCCTTTTTGATAGAAGAATACCAAATTTCTTTTATGTTTTCCAATTAATGTAATGTGTTTTTTTTTTTTGCAAAGTTTGAAAAGTAGGTTTACAGCTGCAGTAACTATTGGTTTTGCCACAATTCTTGGTGATAGAATGCATTTTCTTCTGTAGCACTCGACTTAATTTTGTTGTGTGCATGGAAAGCTGACCACTCCAGAATGGTTGCTAGTGATAATTACTCAAATTATATGAGGCCAGCTTGCCTTTGCTCTGTTGGGAATGGTCAGAGACAAAAGTCGTCTGGTCAGAAGCTGTGCTTGTTTTGGGAAGCTTGGAGGCTCACTGTGATTGAGGACATAGCAGCTAATTTGGAAACAGGCAGTTTTCTAGGGAACGGCAGTGGACAGTATGAGGCCACAGCAACAAACGCTTTTTTTGCACCAATCATTATCACATTATATATCACAGTTAGTTGCCCCTTTCCCATAGAATCCACATACCACCCATCCTCTCGGGAATGATTTCACAAACATTTGGCCTGCATTGACATGTTTTGAAACCCACCCCAAAGCAGTTTGCAGAGTCCAAGTTCAGAGGATCTTCACTTTATCCACTGCTGCACATTGTTCTGCCATTTCAGATTAAACACACCTTTTGCATAATGAATTTTAAGACTGTACTAACAAGTTATTATTTATAATTATTATTTGGAGTAATTGTTCATGTGCTGTTAAAAGTGCTTTGCCTTCAGCATGACTAGGCTTTATCAAAAGGGAGAAACAAAAAGGCTGGATTTGGGATTTAGGCATTGTTTACCACATTGTAACATTCTTACTTCTTTACTTTGCTTTTTTTTTTTTTTTTTTTTTTTTTTTTTTGTAGTTACCCTAATATTGTATTATCCCCTAAATTAATCCAATCCTGGTTCATTTTATGTAAATCTCCCAAATGGCCTTACCCTCACCTCTGTTTTTTGGATGGCTAGCTAATGACTACATTGGTAGTTTAGCAGCTTGGTTAGATGAACTAAGTACTTTCTACTTTACTCATACTAATGACATGTACATTATATATCACACAGTTAAAGATTCACTCTATTCAGCAGAGACTTCCCTTTCATCTCATGGTTCTGCTCATCCTTGTCATCTTGGGACTGACATCAAGACTCAGTCTGAACATGTGTGGTTTCATACAATTCTCACACTGCCTACACTATTCTTCATAGAGCTTTTTAATCCCATTTCCCAAGGCAGTGAGACTGCTAACATCAGTAAAGCAAGAAAGTCTGGACCTTTCACTGTCATTACTGTGCCAGCCATCTCACATACAAGTGTTATCAAAGCCAGGTTCTTCAGAGCTGATGAGTTCCTATTAAGGCACGGGTTTTTCATGGATTTTGTTGGACTCCGCTTCCAGGTCTCTTCACACTTATCAGCTGTCAGAAGTAGGACATTTGTCAGAGATAAAAGTCCTTCAAAAAACCAAATTTCTTCTTCAAGATCTTCCCCTGCCCCTCTGTTAGGACACAGAATAGCCACATTTTTGAATTTAATATAAACAGATCTAATTTTTCAGCCACAAAGATAATATGCTAGATGCTTTCTGACACTTTCTGCTTCATCATGCCTTTTTTTTTTTTTAATAGTTCTTGTATGGCTTGAAAACACCAAATATTAATTTCTTCAGCCCCATCAGTGTCTTGGGAGGGTTTTGCAAATGCTGTTTACTCTGAAGGGCATTGAAGAATGTTCCAGCTCTGGCAGATTACACTGTCACCCTTTTTTTTTTTGTGATTTTGAACATAATTGTATCAAAGTAAGTCCAGGGCTGCCTCATCAGTCTGATGTGGTTAAGTTGCACTAGTTTCTGCAGACACTGTGAAGACTGGAAATGCCTCCCGTGCTTTTGATTCTCCAGCCAAATAAGACAGCTATTTGCAGATATGTTGTCTAAGGCAGACACTGAGCACAAGGTCCTACCAAGGCTTAAATTCAGCCTCCAGACCCACACTGAACAGCGCAGCAGCTCTACCTGCGTGTCGCACTGGCAGCAGCACTACTGCTAAACCCACTGTGGGAAAGGACTTGATTTTCTCTGAGACCCGGTAGTGTGTCCAGGATGTACCCAGAGTCTAAACAACAGCTGCAAACTTGTATTTTCTTACTTCACTTTCCGCTCTGGGAACATCTCCAGGTTGAACAATAGGCATCTGGGTTGCCTATTTTCTGGCTAAATGGTGGCAATGAGAGTCAGTCTTAGCAAAGTTAGTCCACGTATAAAGAGAAGAGGAGTTTTCAAGAACTCCCCTTCCAGGGACCAAATAGCTGCAGGGCTATTTGCCGCAGGCTCCGTCTCTGGATGTGTGAGATACTGGGTGAGTGCGAGTCAGAGCTGCTCGAGGATTCCTCCTTCTGCTTGAGTTTTTAGTACTGGCTCATTTCAGGGGTAGGGAAGGCTGAAGACCCTAACGTGCATGTCTGTTCAGGGTAAAGAGGTAGCTAGTTCAAAACGAAAAAGGAAATGTGATAGCAGAAGATTTAAAAGCAAAGAACTCAAAGTGTAGTGAAGGACCGCACCACTACGTGTGTTGTGCTGAGCAGAGACCTGCTGGTACCCACGTGCTCTAGGCAGCTCCTGCGTGCAGGGGTGCGAGGGGACGATGGAGGTGAGCCTGCACTGGACCTGCCTTTCCGTCTGACATTTTAAAATGCCACTGAGGTAAAGAATGAGGTAGTTTTTCCCTCTTTTCCCACAGAGCATGCTATTACGGGTACAAACAGATTTTGGCTCCAAGCACAGGCACTGCTTTGCACATTTATCTGGGGAAACGATGACTCCAGGCCATACAAATGACTTGTGCCGCATGGCACGCATCTCCCCCGCCACCGTGCGCACTCTTGCACGCAGAGAGGGGAGAGGCGGCGAGGCCAGCTCGCAGGCCGCAGCCCCACGGCCAGCCCGGGTGGCAGGCGCGCAGGGAGAGCAGGGGCGCCCAGGCAGGTGCTGCCTGCGGGCGGAGCGAGCGGAGCCTCCGCTCCGGCCGCGGACGTCAGCGTGGGGAGGGGGCGGGAGCGCAGCCCGGCTCCGGCGCAGTTGCTGAGGCAGCGGGAGCCTCCGCAGCATCCCTGAGAGCCGGGCAGGCAGCCTCCTCCTCCCCGCCGCTCGCTCCCCTTCTCCCTCCCTGCTTCCTTTGCAAAGATGGCAACCGAGGGGCTGCACGAGAACGAGACCTTGGCATCGCTGAAGAACGAGGCCGAGAGCCTGAAGGGCAAGCTGGAGGAGGAGAGGGCCAAGCTGCACGACGTGGAGCGTGAGTGGGACCGAGGGGCCGCGCGTGCCGCATCCGGGGCTCGGCTCTGCCGCCCGGGTCCGCGGGCGAGCGCGGCCGCGTAACGCGCGGTGCTGCTGCCGGGGCCGAGGTGCAGTGCGAGTTGCTGTCACAGCCACGTCTCTGCGTGTGCCGGGGGAGACGAAAGCAGCGACGGGCAGGCGGACACGACCGTGCCGCGGGTCCCGCGCTGCGACAAGGAGGGAGCGGCGCGACGCGGTGGGCAGGCCTGCGGCCTCCGCGGAAGCGCTGAGGCCAGGGCGCCTCCTCCCCCCCCGCCGGGCCTGGGCTGCGGGCACAGAGCTGCTCTGTTCACGTTCGGTGCAGCAGGGAGACACGGGGAAGAAGCAGGGACGTATTTTGCTATGTGGATTCTGAGATTTATTTGCTTTGCTGTAGTGCACTTGTTAGCAGCAGAAATAGGGGTTAAGCCCAGCCTTGCAGAAGCTGAGGGGAATTTATTTAATGAGGCCGGCATATATATTGTTTCCCAAAGCCATCCCTGTTCCTCCAAGGAAACAATTTAGAGGCATCCAGAACTGCTAGGTGAGTCCATCCTCCAGCCCTCCAGGCTTAGCTCACTGTCATCAGCTGCAGTTTCAAGATGTGGTTAATGTAATATAAATGACATAAGAGGAGTTCAGCCTTCTCTGCTTCCAATTCAGCAGAAAAATAAGTTGATCTTATTTTTATGGAACTTCTCAAAAACATACAGAGTCTACCAGAGACACAAAATCACACACACAAAAAACTTTTTATTTTGATTACATCATCTTTATAATTATGATGATGCATTGAAATTTTTTTTGAGAAAATATGTGTAATTAATAGATTCCTCTGAAATCCTATGGCTCATGTTATTAACAATTTTGCTGGGTCATTACAACTTTATTTTTTTCTGTTTTGATGCCTTTATTGTTGAAGGGGAACATGAGTCTGTATCTAGTGATTTAGATGCTAGCGTTTTAAAAGGGATAGGCAAATATTCCTACATTTGGGAGGATGGAGCTTAAGATTTTTTTTAAAGTAAATAAGGCATTTTCTTGTTTAAATTGAATAATCATCTGTTATATCTGTGTCCCATTAGTAGGAATCATTAAATAACTGCAGATGGCCTCATTATAGAAATGTTACTGGAAATCATCGTAATCCTACAATGTAATTTCTGTATCAGAGGTAGTGTGGCCTGTATTCAACAGACCACTTCAACATATGCTAAAGTTTAATTTGATCAGCAAAAGAGTTTTACCTATGATTGAAGTAAAACTGCAACTATGTGTGTCATAGGCCATTTATAACTTGCAGTTACATGTAAAATCCGTGAAATTATGTTGGAAGGCTGTGTTTACTTATCCATGACGTGATTTCCAAGACAAAAATCTTCAACTACTGCAGAACAGTGCTCCCTCACGATATCTCACTGATCAAAGCTTTGGGGCACTTAAATTATTCCCAAGAGCTATTTCTGGAGAGGTTAGAAGTTCCGGATTTTTTTTTTTTCTAATCTAAAATTATATCTTTCACATTTTTTTAGTCCAATCATGGTTTTCCCTTCACGGTTCCCAAGCAAAACAACTAGCTGAACTAGAATTGTCCTTATTTGTTCAACTTGTTTTGAACTGCAGCTCTCAAAACTGTGGATGGAAAGAGGAAATAGCAGACATACATTTGATTTGCAGTCCTACAATTTTAAGGATTGAATTCCATCACTTAGAATTTCAGGTACAGACAAGACAGTTTGTCTTGTTGATATGATCCATAGATTTTTAAAGCCAGAAAGGATTACTAAGACCAACTGACTTCCAAAACAGAAAAGATCAAAGACTGATACCCAGCATTGTTTGCATCAAGTCCACAGCCTCTGTTCAGGTCAAGCCATATGATTTGAAAAGAAAATCTGATTCATCTGGACCCTTGTAAAACTGCTCTAGTTTCTCATTGACTTTAGCTTATCTACTTTCCTGAGCGCATAATTTTTAACGCTGTTCTGAAACAATATTGGCGAATGTTTCAAAATAATTATCTGTTTTTAAAACCTGTGCTAGGCAGGTGCAAGGTTATTATGACTGTTGTTGGAGATAAGCGTCCTCAGAGAACCAGTAAAGCTAAAACAGACAATTCCACAGAGTCCAGGTTGTACTGACATAATGGAAACATGGCCTATTATCTGTGGAACGCTTGTTTTTTTCTTTTTTTTTTTTTCCAGATATATTCTGGAGACAAACATCTTTTCAGGTGCCATAATAACTATAGTAATCATTTAGCAAAGTTCAGTGGGCAAAAGGAGAGGAAAGATATATTTTTTCCTCAGTGGACTTGTATTTCTCATATCAGTATTTCTCTGATCTTTTTACTTGCTCCTGATCCCTGTTAAAGATGATTCTGTAGTGGGCAGGAATGGTGGATAGCACTTGATGAATTCAGATGAGAGCCTTATGCTGGCACAGTTTGCAAGGCTGGTATTTGTGGAGACCATCTATGGAAAAGCTTAATCCACTAGAAATCCGTTTCTGATTTAGACAGAAATTGTTCACCTGACCCTGTGCCAGGAAATAATCACAAATAATGTTAAGGATGCCCGTTCTTTCACTGACAGCCCTTTCCAGCCCATGAGTTTTCTTGCAGCAGCTCTAGAAAAGAGAAAGGTGTGAAGAAGCAACAAAGCTCTAGAGCATCACTTGCCGTGCAAGGCGTGAGCTCAGTCTCCAGCACTGTGCTGAAAAAACTTAAGCATTCCTCTCCCAGCTTATTAAAGCATGTGAGTTTGTGCCTTTATTTCAAATGTTTTGGGTCAGGCATTGCCCCTTTGTCTAACAGCAGTTGTGTCATCTTAGGTTCCAGTGTGTACAAGCACACAACATTAGGAAGGGCTGGATCCTAGTAACTCCTCTCTGGATTGAGTCATTTTTAATCCCAGTGCTGGGGTCTCCAGTCTCTGCCCCAGGACCTGCACTCCTTTGTGAGACTTGAGGCAACTCCCACACTCCATGGCTCTCCGTGTGAGGTATATTGGAGCAGGCGGAGCTGCCACGGGGCTCCAGAACACACTGTGCCCCTGCTCAGCCCCAACTGAATCCACAACACTGGAGAAGGGTTTCCACAGATGGTGCTTTTCCCAGATGTGCACAGACGGCTCCAGCATGTGGCATCAGGGTTAATTGCGATGGCTTAAGTTGTGTCAGCTGCAAGGGGTTGGATTTTACATCAAAGTGAGTTTGCACAGTTGGAAATTTGGGGGTGGGGAGGGGAATGGCTAGGAAATATCAGTTGAAAGTATTAGTCTTTCAAGCCTCAGTCAGACTGAATATTTCCCAGTCAGAGGAGATAAGGGGCTGGGTAAAATAGTTTCTAGCTCTACTTGTGGTAGTTTGTGAGGACTTCAGCTGCTCAGCCCAGAGCGAGTTCATCCATATCTTTATCCATTCATGCACAGCTCACCGTGGCATAGGGGTTTACGACCTGTCAACTCTGAAACACAACCCATTGGTTTACACCATAGAAAGATATTTCATGGATTTATTCCTGCAAGTAGCATTGCTCAGGAGTGTAGAGGTTTGTCAGGGCAGAGCTTTGAAGTGGGTCTCTCTTAACAACCAGTTCTCTGCAGTGCACCAGGTGGCAGAACGTGTGGAGGCCCTGGGCCAGTTTGTGATGAAGACCAGAAGAACCCTGAAGGGCCATGGCAATAAAGTGCTCTGCATGGACTGGTGCAAAGACAAAAGAAGAATTGTGAGCTCTTCCCAGGTATGCCACTCGCTCCGGAGCTATTGCTGGGCATCTTGAATTGCCACCCAGAATGGCAGTGAGCGAGCTTGCTGCATCTCACAGCTGTTTTAGGCATGTATGAAATGTCAGGGGTCTCACTTGAGGGATAAAAGGAGATGATCTACATAGCAAGCCATCTTCAGAGCTACTGCTAGTTGTTATCATTCATGGTGCTCTTAGAAAAGAGAACAAAAATTTAAATAATTACTGTGATATTTGTAAATGGTAAAAAAATGTCCATGTGTAGATCAGAGAACTAAACAGGGAAACTGTAAGGCATTTTTTGCCCTTTTGACTTGAAGAACTGTAATGAGTCCAGGTACAGCAACAATTGTTTCTTAACAAATATTTCACTTTCAAATGCGGAGAGGATAACAATATTATGTGCATGAGACAAAGTAGCTGGCCTGACAGCAGGGATAGAAGGACCGTTGCTTTTTACTGAGTGTTTTTATTGGCTTTTTAGCCAGTTGCATCAAAGGATAATTGAAGGTTAAGTAGGTGTGGTGAGAAAAGCAGATAAAGGACAGAAAAACAAAAATGAATAAGCAATTCGATATTCATAAATAATTCCCATGAGTGCTGCCAGCTCTGAGAGTAATTTGTAATATAGGTCACCTATTGTATTTGTAAGGCCCTTGCCAGAGTCACCAATAGATTTTGTATGGGAAATGTGACTGGCTTCACAGATGTTGTCAATAGGCTGGGAGAAATAGTTGGTCACTGAAAGGAAGCAAGTAAGGATTCATTCTAGTAATGGTTTCCTGAGGAGATCATCTTTTCCGTGTGTGCTGTAAATGAAAAATACTGCCCATAAGCAGGCTAAAGGAAGCCCTTTTATAAATAAATCAGTCTTTTAAATCCACATTAGTCATGTCTGTGAGGAGAAGATGTGCCCTTATCCTGGTCAAAGAAATAATTAGCATGAGGAAACTCTCCTCTGCGCTTCATTACAGCCATTGTGCTATTAAGATGAAGACAAAAATTTCATGAGAGGACTGAACAGGGGATAGAAACGAGCAGCAGTGTTTTCCTCAGATATTGGAAGGGACTAACAGTAACGCACTCGGATGTCCTCAGTCTCTCAGTCTCTCTGTCTCTGTGTGCTTCCATTTAGGATGGGAAGGTGATCGTGTGGGATTCCTTCACGACCAACAAGGTAGGCAAGACTGCAGAGTAAGCCTCAGATTTCTGTGCCAACAACGGTGGGGACAGCAGTGGTGGCGGGGAGGGCTTGCAGGTGCCTCGTGGGAGGCTTTGGGATGTTTGGATAACTTTCAAACATCACAGGACACCTCCAGCTGAGGAGTCCAGGGCATAGAAGCTCACTCAGGTCTCAGCAAAGGGCCTGCGTCCTGGAGCTGGCCTTGCTCGCAGGCTGGGGTCTGCGCCGTTGTGGCTCCACGCGCAGGGAACGTGGCTCCAGCACGTGCTGCCTTGCCACGCACTGCTGCAGGGAAGGGCCAGGCTGCTGAACGGAGATGCTCCCTGCATAATATCCGTACCGGGTGCCACGTTTAAACAACTGGAACACTTCAGCTTTGGTGTTCGCCGTGACACAGTGCCGGGGCTTCTCCATGTGCTGCCAGGGCTCCCTTAACATCCGCCACTTCAGACCCCTGAGAAAAGCAGGTCATTTGTAACTCGCTCATATGCATGCAGCATTGGTACCTTTTAAAACACCAAATCCAGTAACCTCAATAAAAGATAGTCTGTGATCAGTGTGGGGCTCATGTATAATGTGGGACATATTAGGAAGGGAGTGACTGGCCACCTTCCTGCTGCTCCCCAGTGTTACACAGCCAGGGTTAACCCAGCCTCACATTGGGCTACAACTGGGATAAGTATCCATATCTTTCACCAACCACAATGAGGTCCCTAGACTCTTTACTGTATGCTCCTTTCCTTGCGCTGGTTAGTGAAATGGTGATGCTTGGCTTCATGGAGATGCTGTGTTTCAGGAACACGCAGTGACGATGCCGTGTACCTGGGTGATGGCGTGTGCGTATGCCCCATCGGGATGTGCCATTGCCTGCGGGTGAGTTCCCGAGTTCTGCAGCTGCTTACACAGGGAGCCTTTCCTTGTAGCACTGTCCCAGCACATGCTGACGGTTATGAGCGTGTATGTCTTGATCACAGACAGGAGGACTGCACTCCGTGCCTCTGATCCTGTTCCCGTGATGGTTCATACACACGATCTCCACTGACATCAGCACGATAACATCTGTTGTGTAAGCAGGGCAAATAATCCTCTTCCAGCATTTGTATCATAGCTTAGGAATTCTGCTTGCATGCAGTTCTCAGTTCCAGTTCAGTTGTGCGTATTGTATACATCCTTTAAGGGAGAGCTGTTTTAACCATGATCTTAGCACAAGGATATCTCAGGGCAACACTGAGGATTATCAGCACTTGAATAGATCTTGGGAGAGGGAGAGGAGGGGCAGAAACCCCATCCTCTGTACAGATAATCTTCTCCAACTTCTCTGAGGGTTCATGTTTGAAGAAATGGAGTTTTTTTTTTCCCCAGGGAAGAAAACAAAGAGATGTCATGTTGGCAAAACACCTTTTAAAAGTGGACTGGATGGGGCTGGATGAATTAGACAATGAAAGCGTGGGGCAAGAGAAAGGAATATGGGAAACTATTTTACTGTGCAGCTATTAAATATGGAAGGCAGCAGACTGAGGCAGAGGGACTCCTGAGTGTGTGTGGAGAAGGGTTCTGAACTCTCATAGCTGACCATGTACCTGGGACCCTGGAGACCTGAGTCTCCTAGGACTTTAGGAATGAGTCAGAGTGGGCACATGAGGCCTGTGAGACCCAGTCGTAGCTGGTGTAGATACAGTTGGTAGCTGGACACACAAGGCACAGAGTCAGTATTTATGTTGCCATTTTTCCGAACTCTTTCTAAAAACCTTGTCCCCACATGTATTAACTTGCTATACCATCTTTCCATTGCTGATCATATTTATTAAGGTAGATAAATAATTTAAAGACTAATAATCACAAAAAACAATAGAAAAATCCCAAGTTGGCTTTATCCGAAAAAAAAATAAAAAATAAAAAAAATAAAACCACTAACCGTAAGATGACTGCTGTCTCACCTCCGAATATATACTTTATGGAGGTTTCTTTCAGTGCCATTTATAAACTAAACAAGGGTAAAAAATGCTGGATTTCAGCTGACAAAGTACTGCAAAGAGAACTGTGTGGTGAGGCATCTGGGGTTTCCTTGTGCAGGGAGATCCCAGCTAGCATAATACAGGGAAGTCAGTGACCAGGCAGGATTTGGCAGCGCAGCACTGCCAGGTGGTTTCCTTCTTATCGCCGCTTGCCTTTTGTCACTGCAGTTTTAACGAGTTCCCTTCTGTCTGTTATTACTATTATTATTCTCTTTAGAGGCCTGGACAACAAGTGTTCTGTGTACCCACTGACATTTGACAAAAATGAAAATATGGCTGCGAAGAAGAAATCCGTTGCAATGCACACAAACTACTTGTCTGCCTGCAGCTTCACTAACTCAGACATGCAGGTAAATGCATCCCTAGCGCTGCTGCTGCCTAGCCCTGCCCAGCTCGGGCTGCACTCGGCCTTGGTGCCGGTTGCCTTCCTTGCACCTGGAGCACTTTGGCACTCTGTGGCACATGCCAGCATTCAGGGCAGCTGGGAAAGCCTCCCTGGTGGCAGTGGAGGTGCTGCAGGTGCTGCTGTTAAGGAAATGCTTGTAGCAGCCTGCATGAGGCCTTGCCCTTGTCACGGTTGCTCCTGCACAGGGTCAGAGCTGTCCTGTTTGCTGCTCCATGGTGAAGGGAGCTCTCTGGTACCCAGTGCATTCTCTGTTTATTATATTTCTGCTGTCTTGTGCTTTTAGGAGCTCAGACTAATACAAATAACCCATTTTGGATAAGACTAGATTGGGTATATGCTATGCCAGCTGGTGGAGACTGTTGCTTGCCTAATTTGTCCTGGATGTTCAATCAACTTTGCTTTTGCAAGCATTGTGCTTTCCTCCTTAGTACTTCTTGTTTTGTACTGAGTGAGATATGTGAGCTCAAGATGAAAGCTCCGCAGGGCTGGCCCTGTCTGTCTACATAGTGCTGTATTCCCGAGAGAGAGCAAGGAAGTGATGTTATCCCTGTTTCACAGCTGGGATTTGAAGCACACAGTGATTGCTCAAGGTCACAGGGCAGTCAGCAGCAAAGCAAGGAACAAAACCCAGCTCTGTACAGAGCATCTAAAGGATCTGTTTCTCCAAGAACATGAAAGAATAATCCTCTCACCCACTCTGGCTGTAGCATTTTGATGCTCAGTCCAACTCTGCAGCAAAATAAAGGGAAGGAGGGAGCATTTCCATTGTTCTCAGTGGCAGCAGGCTGGGTACAAAGGGAATACACTTGTTCCCTTCTTTCCAGATCTTTGGAGCTCCGAGGAAAGAAACACGAGCTCTTATTGCTTCTGTTTCAAGACACAAGATCCCCAGGAGAAAGTTGTTGTTTCAGTAATGACTCTGAGGTGCTAATTCAAGTCTATTGTCATGGAAACAGGCAACACGGAGGAGCGTAGCTGCCACCCTGCTACGCAGGAGCCCTGGATAGCTAGAACGGTGTCTAAATTAAGTGGAACCTTCTGGAGAGAAACAAACCCAGTATTATGTTTTCTTGTCCATACCTATTTGCATTCCGATTATATCCTATAAAAGGCAGAAAATATTTATTTTTCATAATAAAAAAGAAAGAAAAATTTTATCTTTTTTTCTTTGCAATATATAGAAAAAATACATACAAAATTACACTGATGTTGAAGGGCCTGTATCAGTGTTATATAATAATACCAATAGTGGATTTAGATGCTGTATATAGTGATATGCAGTGATTCAGAGATTTTTCTGACGAATTTATAATGAAGTTTTATTGAGAGTGATAGGCTCATGCTTTTAAGTGAACATTTATAGCTTTGCCTTGTTTCAAAATACAGAAGTGGGCTGTCTAAGCCTCTGTTAGGACACAGTTTTGCTAAAGATCATAGCGAATCTTGAATTTCTTATCTCGTTCCTCTTATGTAATGGCCGAAGGATTAAAATAGCCCAGCAGCTGTGAAGCTGTGAGGGGAGAGGGGCGCCCGGCGAGGCGCGCGCGGCGCTGCAGGCTGTGCCCCCGCTGCACGCGGAGCCAGGAGAGCTGCCTCCATCGGGGTCACATCACGAGTGTGGCGCTGCCGCCTGCCACTGCGCTCGCCTCCACTAGCAGCTGCAGCTCATTGGGATCTGGAGTGTTTCATGCAGGGAATCCAGCCATGCTCCCACCTCCTGCGCTCCCCAGGGCTGAAAATGGAAGTGCAGCCCCCGGGAGCGATCGCTTGGTGCCTGCGAAGACAAGTGGGGGTTGCTGCTTCCCCACCGCTGCCTCCAGCCTGGCCTTGGCCCCGCAGGCCTGTGAAGGTGGCAGGCGGTGCAGGGCTCCCCGGCCTGTTCTGGCGAGTGATGGGTGAGGATCCCCCATCCCACGCTGCCAGAGCCATGGAGGGAAAGGCACATCTAAAAGCAATGACACTTCACTCCTTTCTGCTTTTATATGATAGTTCTCTGAACTTCAGTCCAAAATACTTTGTGGTAAACGTTTGCTGGAGGTCTGAATTGCCAACAGATCATCTGCTTCCACCTTTAGTTACCTCTGCTCCCTTCCTGTCTTCCTCACATGCTACTGTAAAAGCAAGTCCTCAGAACTGGAAGTCTCTATACCCCATCCTGTAGTACGAGTATTCCAGAGAACAGAGAAAATTATAAATTGAGACTTAAAGCTGGCCCAAAAGATCGTTTAGGACTTTCTTCTGCTGATCTACTAATCTCAAGATATTAGTATGTCTCTACTGCAGGATTCACAATGGTCTGTTCTGCAATTTTTGCAGACCTCTGTTTCTGGGAGTGTTTTTTGGAGCATCTGTCAAACATGATCTGTGTTTAACCTTTATGCAGCTCTGTTACTGTCTTCACAGTTGTGTGATCATTTTCTTCTTGAAGTGCATTTTCTTCTTGGCTTCTGACTATGCACTGGGTTCCCTTGAGCTCTTCACTGAGCATGAAAACAGCCTGTGTACAAAACCGAAAGGTCTCCTAAGTTCGCCTTTGTCTCTTCCATGCCTGTGCACAGGCACCCTTTCAACCTACAGAATTTGTGATTGCATAACAGCTTTGAGTGCCAAGGGGAAATTTTGAACAATTGAGCATCATCAGGATTTAACCACAATAACAAGCCAAGATCACATGTGCTTTCTGCAAGCGCTGCAGCAGACGAGAGAAGCTGTGAGCTGTGTTCGGTCAGTATTCGCTCAAGTCCCTTCACGCATAAGTGGTTTTGGACAAGTGAGAGATGATGGACTTGTCAAACAACTGTCTAGACAGACTCACTTCCCTTTCAGAAAATCCATGAAATTCAGTTTATTGGGTTTGACCTGGTTATTTCAGTCAAGGAAAAAAAAATGTAGAGTAAAACAGGTATATTAAAACAAGGGTGCTTAAATACAACAATTCTTTTTTTTCTTTCTTTTTTTTTTTTTTAAGTCCCTTTGAATTCCAGCAACCTAAGTGTGGAGAGGATTATGTACCTGGGCAGACAGAAATACAAATCTGGTGCCTCCTTCTTTTGCAGGGTATGGAAATATCGACAGAACCCCGCTGACACCAGTTCTTCAAAGCCCACTGCACAAAACTGAGCATTATTTATTTAATAATATGTACACTGTTAAGTAATAGATTTGTCAATACTCCTTACCACTCTACCTTTTTTTTTCTGAAAAAATAAGAAACATGGATTCCGCTTAGATCCACATTGCTGTTATGTTTTTGTTTTAGAGTGTAATATTACACAAGCCATTCTTGCTATATGTGTAGGATACTAGGGGTTTCTTCATGACCTTAAAGATCATATGCTGATTTTTGTATCATGCCTTTTCTTGCCATGTCCTGTAGATCCTGACAGCAAGCGGAGATGGGACTTGTGCGCTCTGGGATGTTGAGAGTGGGCAGCTTCTACAAAGTTTCCATGGCCATGGAGCTGATGTCCTGTGTCTGGATCTGGCCCCTTCTGAAACGGGAAATACCTTTGTTTCTGGGGTAAGCTAGAGCTTAATATAAAATTAAGGTATGTGGAAGGGAAAAGGCAGCAAAGCAGGGGGCTTATGATCTTGTTAGAGAGTGCTGAAGTATTTAGTGGGAGACTCAGTGAAATCCACTCATTGCAAGCACATTTCCCAAGCTGGAGCAAATTAAACTTCTGACTGTGGGGTCAAACCCACACCGCCAGTCTGACTGCAGTTCTGCTTACTTAACAAATTCCACCCCACACTAAAACAATCCAACTCATGATCAAAACAAAGCTGCTCCTGGGAAAGGAAAAGGCTCCGAGTTAAAGCAGCGGGTTGTGGAGCAAGCAGAGGTGTGAACCCCCCTTACATGGGAGCCCCTGCACAACAAACAACCTCTCGCCTTTGGCTCCCTTCTCGCACCCAGCTGTCAGGAGTCAGGGACAGGGTGTGCCAGGCGCTGCTCTGGGCATCGCAGCGGGGCTGTAAATACAGTACATGCCACCGCGTTGCTCAACTGCTCCCCAGAAGCCAGGGGTAGCTTAGGCACTGGCTTAACTCTAGCACAAGTTGGAGCAGACACAGATGAGGTGTGGCCACATCTTCAGCTGTTGCTAAGTACCCTTTGCCTTCCAGTGGTACCACAGGCATTTAAAGCCCCTTAGTCAGGCAAATACTGCCCGCCTCCCTGCCTTGGCCTGGAGGAATAGACAAGCTTAGCAGGGCCCCCAGGGCCAGTTTGGGAAAGTGCTGCACATTTTCTTACTCTTGGCTGGCTGCTGAGGGACTACTTTCCCCAGGGCAACTGAGCCACAGCTGTTTGGCATTTAACCAGTTAGCAAGTCAGGCAAGGTGTGAAGGTGACTTGCACAAACCTCGGTTCTGTCTCAAGGTGGTGGTGTTCTTTCCCATGTTAGAGGTTGAGTGTGCTGTAAGAACAGGCAGGAGCTGTGCAATGACCTCTCTTAAAGAGGCAGGTTGCTACCAGCACCTTTGCTGAAGGAGCCTGGTTTCTAAGGGGAAATCAGGTTCTTTTTCTTGGAGTGTGATTCCTTATCTCCCCAGGGTGCTGCCTCACAGAGGTGCCTCCCCCAGGGTGCTGTGGTCCCCACTGGCATTGGTCCTGCTGCTCGCTGTTGTGCCAGCAGTCTCAAACCCTGGGTTGGGAGATTCCACTTGTGCTCTGAGTCAAAATCCCATCTATGCACAATAAACCCGACCTCTCCTGTTATGGCTCTTTTATTTGACTGGCCCATCATGAGCCTAACACACTGGCCCGGTTTGTCCACCACTAGCACAGCTGCTCTGAAGCGTGACCGAAAGCTAATTCCACCGGAGTGCATTAGTCTTGCCAGGCTTTCCTGTAACTCAGTTTACTTCCCAGAAAGGACAGATTCATTTTCCATGAGAACAGTTCAGCTTATTATAGGGTAAAGAATCACAAGCAGCTATGGTACTACTAAGAGAATATGTAATACTTGCATCGATATAGCAGCATGGGCATGTCTGTGCTTACAGGGACTTAACTCATCAAACTCAGAATACTGCCTCAGCAAAGATTCATCTTACATTGATTTGATATGGATATAGCCAAAGCATTAGCCAGTAGAACCTGAAGTTATAGTGGCATAGAGACACTCACTGCCTTATGGCTACATAATAAAGTAAGCTTGAGGCGCAATAAGCAGTTCTAGTACTACAGCACGTAGACTTGCTACTGTTAAATTTAACTACTTAACTAAAAATCACAGTCCTCCTTAGGAAGTTGGGTGATCTCAGGGCTGAGCCCCTGTGTTTTGTTCTCAGTGTTCGCTGAGCACTGTTCCTTGGGGTAAACTTGGTAGTACGTAGGGAGCCCATCTCTCCACAGATGGTTGCTGATTTCTCCTTCAAAACCTTAGGGATCAAAACACCATCTTGTCAGATTGGTCTTGCCCCCAAACTCCCAGAGAGGTCAGTAAGAATGATGCACATGGAAGAAATGTGCAGGGATGGGCTTGGGTTGTGCCTGGGTTTGAGAGTGAAATCTGCTGAATCCAAAATGTTCTCCATCCTGTATGTTTTTCCTTGTGCAGAAACTACAAACTGGTACAGAAAGAGAGATTTGAATTGTGAGGAGATAGTTTAGTTTAACTAGTAATTATATCTGCTTAAAAATAAATAATGCGTGTGCTGCTCAGCAGAATGTGCTTACTAGGCAGGAGGCTTGGCCTGCACCATGCTCCTCACGTATCTTTGGGACTTTTGGGACCTGCACAGAAAGGCAGAGGTCCCCTGAGCTAAGCCTGCTTACTGCCTTCCCTTTAGCAAGATCATACTTATAAAAATCTCCCTTGAGAAAACCCCTGTGTTCTTTCTCCTGTCACCGTATTGTGACAGTAATGAGACACCGCAGCTGAGAATGAGACCAGAGCTGGTCCTTCGTGTAAGAGATGGTCCCTACTCTGAGGACTGAGCATTAAATGATTCCCCTGAAGCATAGCTTGGAAGGACAGCTTAGATTTCCACGATGAGACGAAATGGCCTTATACATCTTTCATCTAACCAGCACACAAAGCCACAACAGGAGGTAAATCTATTGGGAGGGTAAGCAGGGGGACCCTCCAGATACAGTTATTTCATTTTCTATTTCAGTGTATAAAAAGAATTTCCCATAAAACTCTAAGTGCTGGGTATTAATTTTTTATATCAGGCACGTTAAGTGGTAGAGCATGAGTCAGTCTTGCAGCTTGGTATGTTGGTGGGACTTGCAGGACGCAGGTATGGCAGGAGCAGAGCAAGGCAGGGAGGCAGGCATCGTGCATGGGCACCTCAGCCTCCCTGCAGGAGAACAGCTCGACAGCCTCCCCGCATAGGAACAGCTCACCAGCCTCCCTGCAGGAGAACAGCTCGACAGCCTCCCCGCATAGGAACAGCTCACCAGCCTCCCCACTCAGGAACAGCTCACCAGCCTCCCTGCAGGAGAACAGCTCGACAGCCTCCCCGCATAGGAACAGCTCACCAGCCTCCCCTTGCTGAGTGGCACCGCGGCCCTAAACGAGCAGTTGCATGTGGTACCCCCTCAGGATTTGGCTTTTGTGTCACATTCCTCCAATCTCTAGCTGCACCAGTTTGGGAAGATCCAGGATTGCAAACTCTGCTGGCTGATTCTCCTCAGAGCTGTCATGTTCAGAGCCCTGCGCACATTACTGGGCTTGAGCACACACATAAGACACGAGGGGTGAATGCCACCATTTGCACAACTGTAGTGATTTTTTTTTTTTCTGTCTTGCTAGGGATGTGACAAGAAGGCCATGGTTTGGGATATGCGCTCCGGTCAGTGCATCCAGTCCTTTGAAACCCATGATTCAGATATCAACAGTGTCAGGTCAGTATGTTTCTGGGTGAGGACACAGTTGTGATGTTGAGCCATGCACTGGTTCTATTATTGAAGTATGACCTCATTCAAGTAATGTAATGTGTTCTGGTCTTCTTTTACTCATGCACAGATATTACCCAAGTGGAGATGCTTTTGCCTCTGGTTCAGACGATGCCACGGTATGTTAATTCAGCAACGTAGTTTAGGAAAGATCTGTTACCTCTCAAGTCAGAGATTCTTAAAAGACCAGGTCACATCTAAAGATGGCTTTAAGTGGCTAAACTGTACCTGTGACACCAAAGTCACAGAAACAACGATTCTCTAATATAACATATATAATGCTACTGGAAAATTCTCGTAAGGCTTTTTGGGTGACCTCTGTGAAGTTTTCTGCATGAGGTATTCTCCAAATAGTCACAGTAGGTTTTCACAATAGATTTTCTATTTTTTTAAGTTTTTTGATTAATTGTCTTACTAGAAGGTATTTGATTGCATTGAGTCATTGATGATAGCATGAGAGGAACCTACCACTGGTGTCACAGGGACCAGCACACTGCAAGGGCATGGGCAGAGCCTGAACACAAATGTGCATGTCCCTGCAAAGGAGGAAGCAAGGCAGATGCAAAGGACCCTGCAGTGCAGGGCAGACCCAGTCAATTGGCCTTAGAACCTCTGCATATTCTGGGAATGCAGGCCCAGGTTGCCTTTGGCTATGTATTCCTTTCCTGTGAGCCTGACTCAGATTTCCAATGATTTTTCTGCAATGAGTCACTGCATCCTTGATGCTAAAATAGCTCTTGCCAAATATGACTACCTCTGAGGAGGGGACGCAGTACCTTTCGATTGGTAATTCTGGTCAGTGTGCTGCATGCAAAATGCCACTTATCTGCTGGTGCCCTTGAGTTATCCGTACGGGCCAGCAGATCCCGTGGCAGGCAGAGGGTGTCCACAAGGGAGCAGGCTGTCCATGGGCACAGTCTTGCAGGAGCTGAGCTGACAGTAGTTCTAATTCCAAAGAGAATCTGGAAGAGATACTTGGCACCTTGTTTCTCCTGTCTGTTCAAACACCACATTGAGTTGCATGAGGGTGACAGATCTTTCTGAGGTACTCTCTTCCAAGTGCATTTTAAGTCTGCTCCAAAACTGGCTAACCTCAGCAGAAACATTCCCCTGGACTCACTGGAAGTGGAAAGCTGCTGTGGCACTTCTGGGAGGGGAAAAAAAAAAAGCATGGCGCTTTTAGATCCTGAAAGCTTCTATTATAAATTAACACCTCTGTCTCTGTGGTGAGCCCAGTGCATCTCTGCATTCAGCTGTGGCACTAGAGTATGCGAGATGCTGAGAGAGATGGAGAAATTCTCCATCATTAAATTCCAATGAGAGCACTCTCTTTTTTTTTCTCCCCAGTACCACTGGCTCTGGGCTTCTCTGCTTATTAATTCATTTGATGAGTTTTTCTTTCTTAACAATTCCTGACTCCCCTGACCTGAATAGGAGAATGGAAATTTCCATCTTTGCACTTCTGACAGAGGCTTCAGCAGCTTCTGCCTCCTTGCTTGCTTAAATGAAGAAGTTCTTTTTCCTTCCATTACAGACTGGTGCACTGACTGGTATCCCTGACCTGATTTGTATCCTTGGGGACTTGGGGGGAACAGATAATCCTGACTGTCTGGAGGGAAATTATAAAAGTGTGTTCACGCAGCAGTATGTCACCTGAAGTGACCCTGACTCTGTTTCAGGATATTTGGATAGAATTATTCATTAGTGCATAGCACTGGGAAACTTAGACTTCAAATATCTGGCAGCTTACCATGATGCTGTGAATAAAACAGTCTTTCCTTTATGTACAGACTTGAATATCAGCCATTTTTCATTAGTTTAGTCTTAATATGAACAAACCCACCTGGCCAGTGTTTGCTTAAACTCAACATACTAAGGAAGATATTAAGTTAAAATAGTTTCAAAAACACATTTTGATTTGAGGCCTAACAGGCTGCCATTCTGAAAGGCACTGAAGTTTGATCTGACTATATATTATTTCCATGTTAAGCCTAAGTAAGCAAATGGTTAAAAACAGAAAATTAAGATTGTGGAGGTGACTGTGGACTTTTTCTAAGAAACAGAAGCCAGAGATTTGTATAAAAATGTGTCACAAGTGATTTTCACGTTGAGTTTCCAGATTCGGGTGGCACTGCTGCTGAGACAGACAGGCCTCCCATTAGGCCAGTGGCTGTTTCTGTCCTGTCTTACTCAGCACATGGATTTGCATTTAGGCTTCCCCCTGTGCCGAGGGACTGTCCCGACCTCCATGCTCTACACTCAGTCTTCCTGAAGCAGACGAAAGATTTAATCCTGTGCATCAAATTGGAATCCTGGATTTCAATTACTGCTTAGATTATTGGGGTCCTTCCCATTCACATTTTTCCACAAGCTACTATTTTTTTTCAAGCTACTGACTGCAGCCCCTAGTGAGGCACGTGTGTTGTTTTTGTTTTAATCCTAGTGTCGTTTATATGACCTTCGTGCAGACAGAGAAGTAGCAATTTATTCCAAAGAGAGCATCATTTTTGGAGCATCTAGTGTGGACTTTTCCCTCAGCGGTGAGAACTGGGTTTTGGATGTTATCTTGGAGTTGGGAGTTGGTAAAGATTGTAAAGTTTTGTAAGTTTTAATTTGATAAAACATATATTATTACAGATAAAAGCAACATTAAATACCAAAAGAAATATGTAATGCATGGAAACCTTTATTTCTTTCCCCCTTCATAAAGGAAAAAATATTCCCAAGTAATCTACTTGGCTGCTGCTTACCTGTAGTGGCGAAGAGTAGTTTTCTGGCCCCAATGAGGACAAGACATATTTTACAGCTGGCCTAGAATTACATGATAATGATTAAAAACATTTCAAAGGAAACATGAAATGTAACTAAAATATTAAGCACACTCCCATAAATAGTTTATAAAGGATAATAAATGATTAATAGATGGTAAAACTATGTTAGAAGGACATGAAGACAGAGCCATTTTTTTACTACTGATTCAGAGATCAGTGTGAGCCCTTCCCTCTCTCCCTCCCTTCCTTCCCTGCTCCAACACAAGCCTAGAGCTGCCTCTGTCACCCCGGCTGGGGACGGGCGTGCGGCGCGAGCTGCCCCTCCGATCGTCATGCACAGTCACCTTCCCCATAGCAGGAATTGCCACTGAGTACTAACTCCATAATTCATTGATAATGAAGCACGACCAAACTGTTGATCCATCTATGTTCAGCTTTGTGAAGCTGTTCTTGTATAAAGTCTGAGCAGAATATTCTTACCTGCAATAGCAACTGAAGTGTTTTTTTTTAATTCCTTTTCTCTAAAGACTGGGCAGATTCCATGTATTTTTAATGCATATTCCAAACTAATTTCACTTGTTTTTTACCCTATTTTAGCTAATTAATTGTAATTGATTCAGCATTTAATATGGCTAGTTCAGCTGTGGAGGGCATGCATCTAGCAGGAGCACAGCTGGCATGTGGGAAGCAGGAGGGAGGTCTCCTGTGTCGGGCGCAGGAAATGTGGGTAGTGGCTGCTTTGGTGGTGGATGTCCTGCTGCAGTCTAGGAATGCTACCTGCTTAAGACCTTATTCTGTACAAATCTAATTCTGTTTGCAGGTCGTCTACTGTTTGCAGGTTATAATGACTACACCATAAATGTCTGGGATGTGCTGAAAGGCTCCCGTGTGTCCATCCTGTTTGGCCATGAAAATCGTGTTAGCACCTTGCGCGTGTCTCCCGATGGCACAGCGTTCTGCTCAGGATCCTGGGACCACACTCTGAGAGTAAGCACGTGGAGGACTTGGTTTGAGTGTTAAAAATAAGCAAATAAATAAATAGGCTGAGACGAGTTGTCCAGGGTGATTAGAGGTCTCTAAAGGGACTAATATCCCCTAGATTTTCAACAAAATTAAATGTTTGTAGAGAAGCAACAAAGATCTAGGTTTAAGCAATATTCCTCTGTTATGTAAAACAAATTAACAGGAGATTGGTAACAAACAGTCGCCACGGCATGCTATCAGGACTGTTAAAAGAATTTTGATCTTATGGCTTTAAACTGTAATTTTGCCTCATACCACTGTTACTGACAGCTTGTACCAATAATCTGACTGTTTGGATAAATTTTAAATGTTTGATAGAAGAGGCAATGTCATAAATGATTGTTCAACTCTTCTTTCTGCAGATCTGGGCTTAACCTGAGATCCTGTATCTAAAATCAAATGAAGACTTAGATCCTGGACTACAAAAGCTGCATAAAAACACCACCATATGAAGTATTTACTTAACTACAAAATAGTGATACTGAAACTACAGATAAACACAACTAAGTAGGAAATGTAATCTGCTTGAACACATAGCAACCATCAACTTGTAGGAAAACAAAATGTTTTTAGTTCTCTTTTTGAAACTACCTTCTACTAGTTTACATAAGGATAAAAAGAGGCTTTTCTCTAAAGTCGTCTGTATGATAGAAATGAGTTCTTCTGTGCACAATATGTATTTATTTGCATGAATTGGGTTTCTTTTTATGGCAAACTAAAAAACAAATCCTGATTTTATTTTATCAGGGTGTAGCATAAGACTTTGGAAACATTCCATAGTAGTGCGTTGAATTTTGATATTGAGGAGTGGAAAGAAAAACAACTCTCTGATGCTTTATGATGGCATTATGAATGGCTGAGCCTTGGTACTAAGTGGAGCTGCAAAGGACCCATTGGGAAGGCACAGGCTGTGATAAAAAGGCATTTTTTGTACAAAAAAATGAATCCTTTCAATCCCTGTTTTTCCTACTTCCTTTTTAGATAGAAGTATGTATTTCATCTCTGCTATCTGAATTTAAAGAATCTAAATGTAGACAAAAAGATTAACTTACGAAGTTGAGGGATATTAACATGATTTGCATAATCATGAGGTACTATTTTAACCAGTAGTTTCTTAGAAATTTTCAATTGTATCACTTGATGAGTGAATTTTCTTTTACATAAAGGGATACTACATGCTAAGCACTAGGCACCATTATGCTGATGGTCAGGTCTTTTCCAAGTCAGTCAAAGCCATTCTATGATCATGATTCTTATTTACATGTTGGCCAATTCACACTACTTTGGCAGGGTAATATAGCCTTAAATGCGTATAAAGGCAATATATTCCCATTTAAGGTTCCTTTGCCATATGAGAGAAGTAAAAGTTAATGTAAATACAGTTCAGACCTTAGAAGCCAAATTGTACAGTTCTTGCTCTAACAGATCTCTCACTGAAGCAAAGGCAGTTTTGTCATAACTGGTCCTCAGCATGAACAGCAGTGAGTATTTGAAGAACTGCTCTAAGTCACAGCCTTGCAAACCTGTGACACAGGTACGATGCTTTCCAGAACAAGCAATCCCAGCGGATCGATGAGCAGGCAGGTTTTAGGGAAGGAATGTAACAGGTACGTGTGCTGCAGGACCTGGCCCTCCGTGTGACCATCAGAATGTGATATAAACCAGCAGGGCTGCAGCCACGTGGAGCCAAGGCTGTAGAATTAATATATCTGGGTAAAATGGAGGTATAGTTAATTACAGAACTATTGAAAAATTCTATCTGTACCATGCACTGGAAACTACTGAGACTAGAATGAGTCACTTTTGCTCATGTGGATGGTGCTGAGGCGAGCATAACTCGGGGAGTGAAGTACCAGAGTAATGTGGGGCATCAGCAAGTCTGGCCTCCAAAATGCAAGTAATAAGATGCATATCTGAAATGATGAAAGATATAATTTTTATTTAGTTGGAAACAAGAGTAAATCACTGGAGTTGGCTGTTCACATAATTTAGATGCTTAACAACCTAATTATATAAAAATGTTTTTTTTTAACTATATAAAAATTGTTTTAGAAAAGAAGTCTCCACTTGCATGAAAACATCAGGATCCATGACTGATTATGGACATTTCAGGGGAAAGGTCAGTCTTCAGTCCCTAATGAAATAATTCAGCTGTTTCCATTTGGAAAAGTCAACTCCAATGCTTTGCAATATTTATGGTAAACTGTCCCTGTAAAAAAGCTGAATGCACTATGGAAAATGTAATGTCATATAGAGCTCACTGTGCAATACTGAGTCACTACACTGTACACATTTGATCAAAGGTTGAAAATTAATGTTTAGATAGTATTTATTGGTAAGATACTTGTTTTGAAGATACTACACAGTGTTGATACTTATGAATGACGTAAATATAATAAATTGTATTTTACATACTGTGAATGTGTATATAGTCATTTTTCCCATCAGGTAGGTATTTACAATAGAAGCTATAGTTTTTGTTTCTCAGCATTTATTTTTTGCAAGGTACAGTTTCTTGGATCATTTGCCCTACAAAGAGCCATGTGAAATTCAGATCTCAGCAAATTGCTTCTGGAATATCTTCTGGAAATACTCAAGGTGAGCAACAGTAATGGTGAGAGGGTAGTCCTTGAAAATACCTGCTCTGTACTCCATCACTTTTGTGTTTAGGAGGCCAGAATTCAGGTTGTGTGTTCCTGCCTAGGAGAGTCACAGCTTTTCAGATCTTCATCATTTTACGCAGAAACGCATTGGAAAATGCAGAGAGCATGGGATTCTCCTCATGTTGCAGATTGAGGCCAGTTAGGCACCTAAACACTCTTGTATGCCTGGGCTATCACTGTTTGGGTAAATCATATTTGCAAATTACCATAGATGGAGCAGCTCAGCTTTCTGCCTTCTCAGCAGAAGAGCAGTGTGCTAGAATCAGCTGCTGTCTCCACTTAAGTGTAGGTTTTGTGGTCAGCATTACGGCTGTTGGTGGAAGTGCTCAGTTTAGACACTGGAAAAGCACTACATCAACTTAAGCACATTGTTTCATTTCCTTTTCTTTTGTTGGGTTGGGGAAAGCGCTGAGGCAGCCTATTCTAAGTGACATCAGTGCCAAAATTGTCACTGGTTCAGTGAGAATAGGTTGGCAGAACTTGGACTTCTGTTCTTCCACGGTTCTTCCACTTTATGGCAATATTGCTGGAATTCTGTATATTTGCTGTGGTCTCCAGCTGGGGTTTGAATGAGTTCAACACCTACGAAACCCATCTTCTTTCTTTGACGATATTGGAAGTACAAACCAGGAGAGACCTCAACTTCCCATCAAATAAATAAAAATAAAGGAAAGGCATTAATATACCTCATGTAAATCTGGTTGACTGAAGGTTGCCCAAGGAACCTTTGGAAAGTCCAGCATTTTGAGATGCCCCCATTAGGTAAGTCAAGCCATTGGTTCCTCCTAAACACCTGTCTCACAGCTGCCCTATTCCTGAGCACGGGGGAGGTTTACAACTGCTTTTTGGCCTTTCCTCTGTTTCTCCCACTTTGGTGACCAGCTGTGCAACCTGGGTAGAGCAATGAAACAGCACTGTCACCTCTAGAAACTGAGGCACTGGCCTCTGTCTTCTTGCCCTGCTCCATAACTTAAGCAGGAAAGTAAATGAAAAACAGTCCAGAACAGATATGGAAGCTGGCCATAACCAAGTTGAAAGTGCAAGGGAAACCATAGCTGGGTTTCCCTAAGAGCTAAGTCACTGTCAAACTGCCCCATTCTATTAAAAAAATTGCTGTATAAACAGGAAGGGTGGAATAGGATATTGCTGGAGAAACAGTAGCCTCTCCCTCTTGCTCTCCTGCCACGAGGACTGCGATAGGAAATTCCACTGGAGGATTAACAATCATAGGGAAAAAATGGTTTAAAAAAGCATGTGTGTAAAGCCCTGGTGGAAAATAAAGATATTATTTCAAGTACTGCCCTAGCACATAACACAGTCTAGATTTCCCTGGTTTTTGTGGGTTGGTTTGTTTTAAGCCTAATATTAGGGTTAAAACTTATGAGTTTGCCTTTGGATTGACTGAGATCAGGCCGATTCCTGATAGCAGAATTGATTCCACCTATGTGTTTTCCGACCTTCTGGGCTTTTTGGGATTGTTTTGTGAGAGTAAAACTGAGGCAGGAGGGCCACAACCCAGGCCGGGCAGCATGAAGCCCAGCAGGCCTGCGAGGCACCGTGAGGCCGGCGTGCGGGGAGCCTCGTGCAGCTGCAGGCTGCGGCCCCTGCCCGCGCCGCGTGCTCGGGGTGCCCACTGGCAGCACCAGCACAGCCGCCGTGACCCGCACTGAGCGGGAAGCGAGGGCTGGGTGATACTACAGCTCCCCGCTCTGGCTCCTGATCCTGGGAGGTCTGGTTACCCGCTGGGTGGTAGCAGTTGTTGGTGCTGCAAGGGCCGGCCAGGGCGCAGGCTCTGGGTGCTTCTCGCAGCGCTGAGCCTGCCGGCCGGGCTTGTTCTCAGCCTCCTTATTTTACAGCAGCAGCGCTGCCCAACCTTTGCACCTTGCATTGTAATCCTAAATCGTGCCTATACGCCCATCAGCAAGCAGGTGTCCTTGCATTAAGGTGGTGAATACAAACTGTGCGTGTCCTGGAGTCCTAGAAACCCCGAACCTGTGCTGCAGGGAAGGCTTTGGCCGCTGCTGTTGTAACAAATGACAACAGTGTCTCTCAGAGCAGCGCTAGAACCGAGCCCTCTGCGTGGCGGGGCAGGCAGCAGTCACCGCGGAGCCATTTTCCCCCTCAGGCCGCGGAACTAACGCGCGCCCTCCCCGGCCCTGCCGCGCGGGGC